GTTTCTGTTTGTTTAAAGTGCGTTTGCACATCGAGAGTTGAATCCCTCTGGAATCTAATGCCTTTAAACACTTTTGTGTCCAAGAATGTAATTTCTGATTTTGATATCTCAGCCGTAAATTTTATTGTATCGTGGTAGTTGTTTGCCTTTTCAACGAATGTTTTTATATTTTCTTCGTTTGTGTCCCATAGACAAAAGACATCGTCGATATATCTCTTCCAAACTAGCGGTTTGATTTCGCTCCTGCATCTTATCTCTTTTTCTATTTTTGTAGTTATTGGAATTCAAACACGTTATCTAATGTTATTCAGTATGGTAAAAGACTATCTGAAAATTCATCTTTAAACAAGTATCTACCATCAGATGATTTGCCAAAAAATGTTGATGTTTGTGGAACTGAAGTAAGGTTAGATCTTAAAAGTTATCACAGTGAAGGAATTGAATATTACTAAAACTGTAAATAGCACTGCTTCTCTTGTTGCGGCCATGCACAATATTCAATATTCAGAGATTTTTCTATTAAAAACAATATGAACTACTGAACAGTAATATTGCTTCAATCTGCTGATTTCTGACAACTCCTTCTGGGTGATCATTTGGCAACAAACTATGACTCGGTACCAATAATAGATGAAAAATTCCCTTTTCCTTCCAGTTAAAAGCAAATACATTACCTACTCAAGGTTTGTAAAAGCCTTGAAAGTCCTTGAAGGTGCTTGAATTTAAAAATAAAAAATTCAAGGCCTTGAAAGTACTTGAATTTGAGGAATAGGGCTTGATTTTTGCAATGCTTTTTCTTAAGCAATTTTCAAGTTGAAAATTATAGTACTTTCATGGAAAANACCGATACCTGTTTTTGAGGGTGTACATAACAGGTGAACGTGATTTGATACCCAGGAATTTGACGTTGGGATCAGCATAGTGATAGCGCAAAGTGAATCTAATTGGCAATTATTATTCACTTTCGATCGCTCAGAATTGTGTGTCTCTGTCAGCGAGACATTGCATTTATATTTTTACTCAGCAAGAACTGTTAATTGATATTATCATCCTTTGAGTTACGAATTAGTAACGCAAACTAGAGTAAATCGCAAAATAATAAGCACCATTCATAAAGGTCTTGCAATGCTAAGCTGGTAAAAAACTTGAGCCCATTCAAAATATTCTCTAAATAGATATGTATAGACAGAGCGATCTAGACAAGCTGAATAATACCCCAGGGGTGGAAGTTTATTGCTATATGCGCTCGTTTCTCCGGTGCGATCACAAAACTGAAAATTAAACGTGATCATTTTAAAAATTATAATTTTATCTGTGCGGAATAAAACCTGCATTTTAATGACGTCACGTCGGAAATCAGAAAATTTGGAGGTGTACGTATTTGATGTGTTCGATACTGAGCAATACTTTTGTCGCTTTTGGAATGACTTTTCTCGACCAAATTCCTAATGCACCCTATCATTTCAATGTCGTGATCATCATAGACATAAAATCAGTTCAATAACGATACAAAGTTCGTGTTTGTTCAAGTTTGAAATAAGGAATCTTTATTTACGCAAATACGTGTTTTTACTATGTTGAATAATTTTTTGGGTGTTCTTATGTCAAGGCGGACTAACCTTGATGTTCATTGATCGATTCTTAACTCAAGAAATTTCTTTCAAACTTCATCACGGCGAAGTAGATGCTTATTATTTGGAACAAAAAATGTATATAATAAAATGTTGCGTTTCTTCCACACTAAGTACAGATCTTGGCAGAGGTTTGCTGAAGGAAATGAATTAAAAGGCTTGTCGTTCAAGAGGTTATTTTGTGAATTCAAGCCAAACCTTTCATGTTGGGTGAAAATACACTTTGCAAAGCTAAAAAGCCAATTAATTTCCTTCCACGAAAATGATAACAAAGCATATCAGTTAGCAGCTACTTAAATATATTATAGCAGTTATAATTAGGATTACGTTTCAACATTCCTTTGCCAAATGAGAATTCACTTCCTAGTTGCTTAGCTATTATATATAAGATGAAAGGTTACTTCATACAAATCATATTACAGCATTTGGTACCATCGATATCTCAGGAAAGTTAGCAGAACTAACCGTTGCTAAAAAAAAGAGATAGAGAGAACGAAATGACTTACGAGATTTTTATCGCTGGAAATGCTAGTTACCATTTAGTACCGGTAAAAGTTGACAGAGACATATAGCACTAGTTATGTTTCATTGAAACGGAAAAAAAGAATCTTCACCGACTTTGATATCGAAGAAGATTGCTTCATGTTGTCAAAACGACATCCTCTTGATATTGTGTCAAAAATACGAATCCTCCCGGGCATATTTTACCACTCTAAATATTTAAGAATAGACAAATACATTTCGAAACAGCCATAGACAATACTTAGCAAACAACGTTTGAATAAGTAGTATTGGTTGAAGCTTGTGGATGACAATAGTTTTTAGATACGTGAGAGCGTTCACAGTCAGTTCTAGAACTAGGTACACGAGGCCTTGTAAACAAACTTCATGAGATTCTGTCACCTTATGCGTATGATAATTTTTTCTTTTTTTAATGAATGCCTAATATTCAGTTTTCCGGGAAAAGGGGTCAATAAAAAAGTTCCAGTCCGAAGATTTCGCAGAAATTCTGTGGCAATAACTCCTTGTTCTTGGTATCTCAAACAAATGAGAACAATAATGGTCACCAATGAGGCTTTCGAAACGTGGCTTTTTAAGTCCGAACGCTGTTTAAGTATTTGAAATTCCCTGATGATGATACTTTGTGGAAATGCAAATAACATTGATTTCCTGTTTGTCGGAGGAAGGAAGCAGTTAAGAGTTTGCATCAGGCCCCCTCTCGGACTTTTCCTTATTCAACTGGAAAATATAGCCAAGCAATGATATAATCTTAACTCTTTGTGACATGATGGCATCCGATGTTCCTCGCATGAATTGTTTCATCGGAGCAAACTGTCTAATTAATCCTATATTTGCTCCTAACTCATCTCAATTATTTAAACATAAATTTCCTAGAAAATAGTTCTCCGTCGGACTTTTAGATCAAACTTTGATTTTGAATGCAACTGCTCTCTACTCACTTAGCTGAAATACGTTGTTTTCATTCATTTTTGAACCTTTACAGCCTAACTTCAATATGCATATTCTCTATACTCCACTCTGCACTCTTTACAGCCTAACTTCAGTATGCATATTCTCTATACTGCACTCTGCACTCTTTACAGCCTAACTTCAGTATGCATATTCTCTATACTGCACTCTGCACTCTTTACAGCCTAACTTCAGTATGCAGATTCTCTATACTGCGTTCTGCACTTTTTGCACTTCCCAAGGTGTTGACAAGAAGAACTTGTTCCTTTAGTTAGTGATCATTTCCTTTATTCTCCTGACCTTAATGTTTAATTCAGGGGTGATATTGTAAGGAGAAATTAGATGCTGATCACTCTGAAGTGTTAAGTTCACTCTATTAGGTTAAGTCAGTGATGTTCCATGCGTTAATTGTTTTATCGAAGCAAACGGGGAAGTTTGAACTGTCTGTTCAATTGTAAATTTGCTTGCAATTCATACCACGTTGTTAAATGATTAATTTCCTAGAAAAGAATTCTAGACGTCACATTAAACTCTGAGTTTGAAGACAATTACGCACCTTCTTGACACTTTGCGGAAATATGAAGTTTTTTTTCCTCTTAGCATTCCTTCCTTTGGCAAAATTTAGAAAATGGAGTGTATTTTATACTTGAGAAGTTTTTCTAGGCATACCGCGAATCTGTAACATTAAAATAAAACTACACATTTGGGGCCTAGTTACATTTATTGTGAACGAAGTTCGATTTCAGTCTCTGTCTCGTTAACTGGAAATTTACCAATCAATTTGAGCTCATGACCAACTGGCCCTTTACTTTTCTGACCTGCAGGTACTCGTTTTGTGTCATGAACTTTGCAAGGCAACGCAAGGTAATACTGCTATTGAAATATGATCATCATTGTGCTCTTGATTACTTCTTGTGTTTTATCGGTTTAAATGTGATATACAAGAGCCTCTCTTGAACACACCAAAGCGAGTGGGCTTTCTCTTACTAATGCCATTATCATTGTTTTTAATATTAACTTGATAATTATTTATGCAGAAGATTATCTCTTCCCTCTGAATTTTTTGCTGTTTATACTCTGCTTTCATCAAATTTCATACCTGCCTCCTGTCTTGTTAACGCTGAATAAACTTCATAACGTGAATCGTAATTTGGAAAGTGTTCACTGATTTAGTACATGCATGTACCTCGTAATGATTTCAGCGGTAGACCAACGAGGCCTACTTGCGCACGACATCATCAAACACCGCATTCGAAAGGCATTGAAAGCCATTCCTGGTAAGTTAAAAAGGATAACAGGGGTGTGAGGAAAGAGCTCAAGATCTCATGTTTCAGTTTGTATCATGAATTGAAGGCTAAAATTGTAAATAAAATAAACATCTGGCCTTTAAATCCTTGCAGCTGCAGCAATGCAGATAAATTGTTTGCCAACTTTGTAAAGATATTTTTGGGCGACTGGAGGTGGTCGAAAATCGAGAAGAGTGAACTGCCTGGTAGAGAGAATAATCAAAATAAGCACCTATTATTAGTGACGGCTCGCAAACTTTCATTCAAACAGGTCGAGTATCAACAGATCTGTGAGTGAATGAACTTCGAACATTGAAAGAACTTCGTTCGGCTTGAAATGTCCGTTGTATCATCGTTCATATGAAGGTCTATGAGTTTGAAGAGTTCTCCGGTGGTTAGCTGCTACTCGAACCACGATCTCTCTTGATAAAAGGAGATATTATATTTCCCAATGTCAAATTTTTAACATTGGAAGAGGGAGGGCCAATAGTTTGGAAGTTACTGCCAGTTGCTGTTGCGGTAGTTCCTTGGCTCTATAATATATTGCTAACTAGAGACCATGCTTTTTAGAATGCTTAGTCTCGTCACCAAATCAGACTGTGGACTGGACTCCAAGCTAGAACGAGGTGAACGTTACTTTTGGAGTGTACAAAAACTCCAGCCATTGGTACGCGAACATATCATGGACGCCTCTGAATGGTGAGTGCAGCAATCAAACTTCATGGTATACAGTTTTGAGAAAAAGTTTCCTTTGAGAAATTTTCTGTACCGAAAAGATTTACTCAGTTTTTATCCCTTTACAGCTTATCCGCATGCTCAGTTTGCATATGCTCCATATTGTTCTCCAGACATTTCGCTGGGATAACCATCTTTTCGCTTTGCGATTATTTTTGTAGAAAGTTACGGAAACTGGACTGGGATTGTGGTTAAATTTGCGGTAGAAAATGTCCGCCCTCTCGGGAAGCGCTTATATCCATCAATTTGTACTCAACATCCGAAGGTAAGTTGCAGGATGACAAGGAAAAAAATGCTTCCAACCTTTCTTAAAGCTTGTGCGGGAATTGAACCCATGACCTCTGCGATACCGGTGCTGTGCTCTACCAGCTAGGCTAACAAGTCGTAGTGCACATATATGACTTTCACATATTCAAATTCATTGATTCATCACTTCACGGGTTTGATATGAACCAACTTAATGACCAGTTCCCAGTTGGCTTGTTAGCTGATCATTTGGTGGAGCAATGCACCGGTAACTGGTATACCATAGGTCATGGGTTTAAATCCCGTACAGGCCTGAATTTTTTTTCAGGCCTTATTTTCACTTCTACATAAGTAGGGTTCATGACTTCGAGGGTCGCATTCATACATTTCTTTAAACCGCAGTACACATATATGATTTCCATGTATTCAAATTCAAAATTCAAGTGAGTTGATACTTGTGTTTTTGGTACACCCATTATATAATCCAGTACTGATTAAAATTATAATCTGCATGAATTTTCTTTTGGCTGGTTATATTTATGTTAACATACTTGTGTAGTACGTAAATAAGCTGATGACCTAGCGTCACATGTGGGTTGAGTTTGTTGTTGGTTCTCGTCCTTGCTCCGAGGGATTTTCTCTGGGTGCTCCGGTTTTCCTCCCTCCGCAAAAACCAACATTCCATATTCCAACTCGATTTGGCGACAGTGGAAAAGTAGAGCCACCCAGTGGAACTTCCACTGCTACATTATTTATTATTTATTTACTTCTTGTGGTCAATAGCTATCCAATTGCACCCTTTTTGTTATTGTCATCATAATTTCTCTCTCTTTTTCTTTCTCAATTTCAGAATCAAACCTTTCTACAAGTTAATCTCTCTTCCTATGAATATCATTTTCCCGATGCTATTTTACTGAAGGTGAGTGAGATCTCATACGATTCATACTGTAATTGCTGCCGATCTGTTTGTTTTAAAAATAGTTTTGAACCAAAAACTTTAGTGAGAGACACTTTTCACCACATTGTGATTTTATATTTCATTTTAAGATTCTTGCTTTTCCTTATTCTCCAAAAGAAGAACTCACAGACGCACTGCAATTTAAACCACGTAAGTTGTACTGATAACGATATCAAAAAATTAATTTTATGATAGCAAAGAAAGTCCACACAGACACTCCTGTGTAATAGCTCTTCCCCTTGTTAACTCCCATTGACCAATAACAAACTCATCACCCTGCATTGCACTGTACAGTTAAAATTTTATGACGCCGATTGGCTCAGGCGATTTGATCAGTATTCCACATATCTATAGACATATTTATTCACGGTTTTGTAAGTTTCAAAGAAGCTCGGTCGACTCATATACGTGTTCTTCCAGTTAACCTTTTGAACCTTGCCTTAAAATAACTAGCGACTTATTTCTCCTTACAATATCACCCCTGAATCAAACATTAAGGTCAGGAGAATATAGGAAATGATCACCAACTAAAGAAGCTTTTAATTGTTAAAGAAATTCTCCTTGTCAGCTCCTCAGGAAATCTATATGGATAGTGATGTTAAATTTAAAAGTGTAATAGGAACCTTTTTCCTTCCATTTTAACTGCTGAGTTTCAGAGGAAGGATTTGACTACTTGCATATTTTTTTTCGTTGTTTTTTTCTGTTCTATTTCAAGTAATTGAGATAGAAAAGAACGCTTCCTGTGTTCCGGCCATTTCAACATATCAATATGAAACTTTCTACTTTGGATGAAAACATTATAGTAAAAACACGTGGATGGGAAGCGGATAACACGGATACAGGATGTCTCCACAGAGGCACTGATTATGAAAGAGATCGCTGCCAAACATTTTTGATAACCACTGTTTCAACTGCATTTCTTTAAATGCAAGGATAAAGAGAAAATGTCCTTTGTTACATAGATAGGGATTCATTTGTTAAATTCTGTCATTCTGGTAATATAAACAAAGAAAAGCCTGTCAAATGAGTTCTTTAACAACTTTCTTTTCATCATTTCCGCTATCAGTTTAAAGATCAATCACGACTCCAGACATTTTCATTTACTCCTAAAACAAAAAAACTTCATATATATTATTTTCGTGATTCGGTCGAAGCTAGGGTTTATGGTGTACGAGATGTATTTGTGATCATATATATCGTCTGATGCACCAACATTACGACTTACTTAAACACGACGACTGTCCATTGCCAGAAATTTGGGACAATATGGCGGAGGCGATTCTCGTGTTACGAACAAGATGACGCCGAAACAGTTTGAGAAAATGTATGGGAAAAGGTCATTTTTCAAAATAGCTGTCAAACAATGGGATGTTCTTTCGCTGCGTAGTTGGAAATGCAGCCTGCCTTGGTTAAAGCGTCCATCGCTACGTAAAAGAAATACTCAAATGCAAGCCTACCCCTTCCCAAGGTTTACGAGTAGACTCATAATTCTGACTCCATTTTCCCATACAAACTCTTAAAATCTGCTACGACTAGGATCTTTTGTCGCGGGAATAGCCTTGTGAAGATTCGCAATTGCGTAGTTCGATATGCATCCTGCACAAGTTTGCTTAACTAAATCGCTCGTAAACGGTCGAATATGTTAGCCCACAAATTTTCCTTGAGCCGGGAGACTCTTCGTATTTTCACAGAGGTCAAAAGCCCAACACGCCATTTTAAAATACCCCAATTTTAGGAAGGAAGAACACGAAAGATACAAGTCCCTGTAACTGCACAATTTCTCCGCCATTTTCCTTGCTTTGACGTCTCCTTTGGCTTTCTGGGATAGTAAGGTACCAGGCTTTTCTCTGGCGGGGTTTTACGAAAATAAAAAGTTACGTGTTCACTTGACTTCAACTGCCGCCATACTGAATTGTCTGTAATACGATATACCGCTGACATTTCATAACGGGCTCGAAATGTCCCAGATTTCTGGTGGTGCAAAGAACTCTTATCTATGTCACTTCTTCAACGATTGGAGTGAAAACCACAGGGTAATTTTGCTTTTTCTCTAAACAGCCGTTCCAACGTCGCCCACACTTGCAGAAGGTACGACAGCGGGTAAGATGAAAAAGGCTTTCATTTTAGAGTTTATTAAAATCCAAATGACTCAACAAGATTGTTATAAAAATTTTTCATCATGCGACCATCAAAAGTATCGAAAGGACTAAAGGTAATTGTTGAGTTCGTATACAATGCAGTTCTTGATGATTGACCAGACAACTGCTGTTACTAACTGCTGGGGACTGAACGAGAAATTCAAATGAAGATTTTGTGGTCATCGTGCAACCATTGCAAGTGTTTGTTTCGTGACAGAAGATCGCAGTGGTTTTACTTCTAAGAGTGACAAACGAGACTGTAACCTAAGTTTATTTCTTATCATGTTTGCATAATCCCTTGTCTTATGTCCATTTCTAGGTAGTCTACCCACAGCGTCTACAAAGCCTCCGAAATTCAGTGAGTCACAGTTCCTTTCTTTAATAAAAAATTGCCCTAAAAATGCAAGTTAAGAGACTTGGTCAAGCGTTTAAAGTAGAGCATTGATACGAACTTGTCAAAGTTTTCATTTAACAGTTATTTGCCGAAGGCGAGGTGAATATCGTCGAATAATCCCCGAGACGAAGTCGAGGGGATTATTCGACAATATTGACCGAACCGGAGGCGAATAATTGTTTTAGTATAATTTCAGAGCTGAATAACAGAGAAATTTCTAAAATCATAACATTTTAGTAACATTTATTAACATTTTATTTTAACATTTTATATAAACCGCGTGGAACGGTTTATATAGCGTCATATAAGGAACCCCTCGACCAATCAGATTGCTGGAAACTCTTTGCTCAGCTCTGAAATTATACTAAAAGTGAATAGTGAGAGCGGGAAACAGGAATGGCGTTTGTATGGGAACCAGTGCTAATTAAATCTGATATTTATATACTGCATAAGAAGAACAGATGTCAATGGCTCAATGTGTGTCTCATGAACTAACTCAAAGAAGGTTAAACAGTTAAAACCTTTTTTTCAGCAAAGAAGCTCAAATTACAAAGGTGATAGAGCACTTTTCATTAACTACCAAAACCGGCATGTTTATACGATGTGCTTTTTTACAGGTTGCACACGGGACAAATATGGGGACTACGAGTGGCATCCCAGAACTATCAACGGAAGTTTTATCCAACGAGATGATGGAGAATGGTTTGTCAACATTTCGTGGACACCTTTTAAAAGTATGCCAGTTTTAATTATGAGATATTTTACTCTAAAAGCTAGGTAAAACTGCCATAATCCGTGGCAGGTTGGGTGTATCTCGGTAGCATATACCTCAAAACATGCATGGAATAAGGAGATGACTGGTGTGTGGTCATGAGCTACTATTGTTCTCGTTGTTTTGCATGATGCAGGCTGCAGAAACTATATGATTTTTGTCCGAGCTAAGCCAATAATGGTAGATTATGCAATCATGACCCTGAAGGTGTTTCGAGATTCTCAAGAACAACCTTAACTTTTGAAAATTGTCTACTTTTGAGCTTAAAATTCAACTAAGGACGCATTTTGAATTTTGCCTAGCAACAAGGCCACTTACATTTGAAGTGATAAAGTCTAATTGGACAGTAAGAAGAGGACAGGAGGGGGTGGTAGGGATAAGTCGCAAATAAGCAGCTGTTTTTGAACCGCGCGATACCACTTTTTTCGGGCAGCAAGGTCACTGAGCTGTTTTCCAAAATGCTGCTTGCGTAAGAAGTCTTTTCGTACCCTTCTAGGGTCTTAAAGAGGGAGAATCGAAATGCGTTAGACTATTAATAAAGTGGTTGGAAGGTGGTAAAAGACGAAAGAAGAAACATTAAATGGAAAGGAAACAAGGATGGAAAAGGACATACATGTCCATATCAAATTGCAGATGGGAAACTTAAAAAAAAGGGGGGAAGGCCCGAGTTAATTGAGAGATGCTAAAACCACGACATAATTATAATTCCACGCAAGTACTCGAGCGATGGTTCGAGATATTTTCCATGTATCTATGTGAGTCATAGTGTGCAGCTTACTTGGGTATTTATTTCGCAGTTTCCTCTGTCAACTGGACTAGCTACTACATTGAAATGCTCATCAACCCGAATGCGACCCAGCTCATCCACCCTTTACAGTGTTTTAAATTACCAAAGGTATTCGAAGACATTCCCTAACGTTTAATTTCCGATTAGGTTTTGTTTGAATTTACGTGTGAGTAACATTTGAGCTTGTAGTTTGGTCGTTCAGCTGAGAGTAGCCCTGAGGAGGATTGTTGTTGGAAGCAGTCACTCGGCCCTAACAATGACTTCCGCTGTAGAAACGACCGCTATAGTCAGCATTATCGAGAACAATAATTTTCAGGACTGCTCTCCCCCGGGCGGGATTAGAATGCAAGGGAAGAGTGCCTCTTTCGAAAGTCTAACATGATAGAAAATGAAAAGGAAAGTAAGGACGTACAACAGGGTACAGTCCGTGTAACTTAGTCTTTTTGTACCTGAAAATCGACTTCAATGATAAAAAGGGAAAAAAATCAACGGTAAAATAATGGAAATTATTTGTGAATTTTCTTTGAGGCATGTTAAATCTTAGGCGCGTTGAATTTTAGGTACAGGAAACGAGCTTACTTAGCTGAACTTGTGAGTTTCTTGCAAACACAACAAATTTGGTCCATATTTTAAAGCAGTACCTAAATATTGGAATTCGGAACACATTTCTTTCAGAACCAGACATATTTCATTGTGGATTATGCTTTTCATGGTTGGAAATATCCTGAACGAATTGAAGTCGCGGTGAGTGATAATGGCGACTTTATCCACATTATCTTGTAAATAACAATTTTGCTTGATCCATGGCTATAAATTTTTAAAACTTATTGCGCTCTCTTTTTTACCTACGGCATCCTTATATCACTAAGACGAAAATCAACATTTAGCCACGTGATTTAAGAATTCGTCACTTTCATATTTGGCTGGCATGAAAGCTATTAACGAAACGCAGCCCCTACCCTCTCTCCCCTTAAGGTTCGAAAGGGAAAACGTAAAAGCCAAGAAATAGCATGCCAGAGAAGTTTTGGAGGGTTCTCTACAGTATTTGGTCAACTCGGAAAGCTGAAACTTTTGATTTTAAAATTTTCCACTGTGCTTAGGTCACTGCCTATCCTTTCCCAGAAACTGTTAACGGGTATTATATGGTTCATATTACTCAGAAACAAGGTAAGATGCATCCTTTTTAAAAGCTTTGATAATGTTTTGAAGCAATAATAGATATTGATAATAATGATGTCGATAATACTAATGCTAATAACAATACTGATGAGTATATATATATTTATTAAAAACTGGATCATAGCATAATGCAATTCAAGACTTTTTATTGGCTTCGCCATTATGGTATATGAGCCAATATACCATAATGTAATATCTGTACATTGTAACATCCGGTTTCTTCTTACAAAATAAAGTCGAGAAGGTTGGTCTAATATATTGGGGGCATTTTTTTTTTTAATAAAACAATTATTCCACTCGCACTTGTTGGATATGGGATGATTATAGCCAACTCGGCGCTACGCGTCTCGTTGCCTATCTATCATCTCATATCCAACGCGCGCTCGTGGAATAATTGTTAAATATGCAATGAAAATGACAATAGCAATGACAGTTACAGTGACAATATGATAATGACAATGTTGATGATCTTGATGTTCACGACAATGATATTTAAGAAATGGAGAGAATGATGAAATGAAAAGTAAAGCAAAATGGCAGTCATTACTGAAACAACTTTGTTCTAAAGAAGTAAGGGATATTAATCACGGAAATGGGGTAGAAGTATATTGAGTATTTCAGCTCTCTTTCACCTTTACATCAAAGTGAATGAGGACAGGCGGACAGTCAGTGTGGATATCCTCATCTACTCCTTCCAATTTTCTGTTTAACAGAAAATTAGAAGGGGACGAGGTTATAGAAGGGCTCGTTCTTCAGTAGTCTGGTGTTGCAACATACACCGAATGCAAATATATATGGCGTCTCATTTGAGTTGCTATTGTTCTGGACTCACTAGCCTCTCACGCATGTAATAATCCTTTTCAAGTATAATATAGACTGGTTATGTCAAAGTTGAAACTGCTATTGACTTACATGAGGTCAAACTGGTTTTTATTCTTGTAGAACCCCCTATTCTAACGGCAGCATCATCACCGAGTAAGTATAGCACAGTAACTTTACTATGTTTTGACTTTTAGAATGGAGAATTGTCTTCTATCTTGCAACTCCCGATGATAATTCATGCGTAATTCATTCCTTAAATGCAATGCGTTCTCCTAATGAAATATATCGTCCACGAAAGAAATATTAGGGAAAAGATCATAAGATTCTCGTCAACTGGTGTTTCCTTGAAAATTATCGAAATAATCTCACGCAAGTGGATGTCCTCTCAGCAAACATTAACATTGATACCCGATTCTTCAACAGCTTCAAGAACACGAAAGGTTGAGATCACAGTATTTTCTTCCGTTGGAAGCGCGTTTGTTCTTGGGCTGTTAGCTTTTGCGTTGTATCGATTTTTTCGCAAGCCTTCATCTCCAGCTACCAGGAACGCTATAAGAAGAGGTGAGATTGAAATTTTAGGCGCGTTACGCGCTAATCATTCACCCTCTAATAAAAAGCTGAAAAGTTTTAGGCGTTTTTCTTTTTGTTTTAATCTTTGGTAAAAGCCAAAATTCTACCCTGGGATCTCTCTTAATTTCTTTTTAGTTTAACATATAATTCAAAAGCTTGCCAAGGTGGACTTTTTTCCAGTTTCTTCCCTACATTTAGTATAGACCACTTTCATAAATGGCTGCCGGATTAATATTCTCTTGTTTAAATTGAAATTAGCCTTACTGGCCTCGTTCTCCAGTACAAAATTCAAAAGAATACATTATCTCAAGCGAGGCCAGAAGGGCTAATTTTAATTTAAACAAAAGAATATTTATACGGCAACCATTTATGAAAATGGTCTATATGCTTGAACATCTGCCTAGATTACGAAAAGTAAAGATTTGGATTTGTTCTCACCCACATGCAGATAATTTATTTTGTTCTAAGTCTTTATAACTTTGCCTTTGTACGAAAACCTGAAAAAAATGGTACGTGATTTTTGGGGCCAGCTAGAAAGGGAAAGCAAGGACGAGATATATTATCTACAGTCAAGTGTGAATTAAGCGGTCACCCATGGGAAATAACGGATGACCGCTAAATACAGGTTTCACAGAATAGCGGTACTGTATAAAAACGATGTCATTTATGTCATAATTGATTCTTACAATGATTTCGGGAGATGAACATGGAATAAATTTTGCTTGAAGATTAACTCTCAGTTAATTTGAGTGGTTGCACTTTGAGTAACTGTTCAGAACAGGCGGAAGACAAGATAGAAGGCCTTTGGGACTTAGTAAAAGGTGACCGCGAACGCAAAATTGAGGTGACCGCTAAATAGAGGTGAAAATTAAAGTGATTATGGAGAACAAATTTCGGGACTTTGACAACTGACCGCTTAATACCGGGTGACCGTTTAAAACGGCGCCGTTTAAAACAGGTTCGTCTGTAGTTGCTTCAAGAGAGGATAAAGTGTATTCTCTCTCGGTTGCTTTTATTCTTTTTTTTTAGATCGCTCTCACACTGAAACAATCACAATCATAGGCAATCAAAGAAAGATTATTAACAATATTAATTTTGTATTCACAGCCTTTCAAAACCACGCATTCATAATCTACAGTACGACAGAATCCGAATGGGTCAACAACGTCCTTCTTGCGACGCTACAGAGCTACGGGTTTAATTGCTGCATACACTGGAAAGATTTTCAGCCCGGCACAGTGTTCCATCAGAGCATTGTTGATAGTGTGTATAATAGTTACAAGATCATTGCTGTCGTATCAGAGAGTTTCTTTCGAAAGGAAAATTGCAAATTTGAGGTGAACCACGCCATAAATCGATTGATGAACGAAGGCGATGACTGCTTGATTATAATCAAATACGACGACGTGGATCTCGATGTCCACTTGCCATCTCTCTTGAATAGGAGTTACATCGACCTACCGAACCCAACTGACAGATCTACATGGGAGTCTAGGCTTGTAAGTGTTCTTAGGGAGGCAGTAATCGAGGAGGAAGCGAGTGGTCACAATGAAGGGAACGCTAAAAATAATAACGAATCTAACGGAAATTCTTCAAATGATGACGATTCTCTGGAGCTCACGTGTTCTTGTCAGTCATGTGGGTTGATGACAACTAATGAAACGCATAGCGCCTGCAGGAGCTGAGGGACTAGTCGTTTTGTATTACACAGGGAAGTGGGGAGGGGAGGGGAGGGGAGGGGAGGATTTTGGTTGTGTCGCTTTTTTTTTTTATCAGATCCTTCAGAAGGCCTTGTAATATATTTATGATCCATCTCACCCCCCACCTCATTAGTAGTTAATTGGCAGTCAGTTTTCTGTAGTTGCACGTTTGTGCTCTGTGGGCGACGACTGACTTCCCTTTCATTCCCTCGACAACCATGTGATCCCCCCCGAATCATCTACTCCCTTCTCACCCTCTGGGGATAAACAATGACCGGTCCTAAGGAAAGAGTTCCGAAACTTGCGCTTTGCATCTTATCTGGTCTGTCACCGCAGTATCCATACACTAACAAGTATCTTAGTACTCTACGTACACCTGCCAAGGACACAACTTTTCAGGAGTAACACTTGGCTTATACAAGTTCACTACCTGTGGCTGGTTTACTTCAGCTACCCTAGCTTCCACAACAAATATGGGAAATGCAGAACGAAGAGGCTTTTTTTTTTTTTTCTCTTCGCGGAATTTTGTGCACGAACGATCCTTAGCTCATTTAGGAGCAACATATCGTTTGACATGAACGGATTACAGTTGCGTGACTCACTTGCTACTTTTTCCGTTTTTTAGTACATCCATTTCAAGTTGAAATTACTGATAATCCTTGCAGTCTGAATCGTATCGTTTTCCTCAGCCAATTAGAAAGCTTTACTAAAACAGAACAACCAGTGAGATTTTAAGGGTTATTCAAAGTAGCCAATCAAATTTCAAAAAGCTGGAAGCCATCTCTAACAACTTTTTACAAACCAGCTCAATACTAGATCAACGAAATATCTGTATAGACTGAAAATATCATGTATTTGTGCGACTGAATTTTGTGATCTTTAAATGGATGTAATAAAACGGCAATAAACATTGTGTGTGAGATTTTGATCTAAAGTCATACTTGTGATTTCAAATCAAACTCGCGCGGCGCGTTCGTTCGATTTTAGAAACACGCGTATGATTTCAGACCAAATTGCACTACACTTAGTTCACTTACCTTTGAAAGACCTTGAAAGATTAATTGCCAGGAGTTATGAAAATCGCAACGAGTGAGAACAAAATATATGGTCTTTCTTTGATTTTAACTAAGTCTCAAATCTCAAATTTGAATTTAAACAGAATTATATATTCTCCTGAGTTTAAAATCAATTTAAAACACATTGAATATTTGCGTTGTGTATGGGAGGACATTTGATACCCTCTTGACTTTCTATACGTTTTTTTCAATCTTCTAAGATGATTTCAAACTCGATTTAGTGCGTTCGATCACAGTACTGGACACTGACTCGCCGATCCAACATTTGCCTTACGGGCCCTGTTAAGGGAAAGACTATTTAAAAGGAATCGTTATTTAATTCAACAGCCTGTGTATCTCCCCCTACTCATGTTTCCACGAAGTAACCGCTCTTTTTAATAACAATCGTTACTCTGCAATTTGATAATAAAGAGTTTCTTTTCGTATGTTCATATCAAGATTAGTTGATCTTCACTTGAAGTTAGATTTACGGTCATGTTCAGGATAATACTGCGCATGTTTATAGCATTTTATTTCGTGTTGACCAATGACCCATTGGTACAGTGGAGAAAACAAGCAAATGGAAACACTGCTAACCAGGTTGGATTAAGGTCACCAATCAATGAAAAATATATTAAAATTACAATTTTACGGTTTGAATCTTAAAAAGGTGTAAAATATTATAGAACCATACAAAATCATACTCCCGATCCTACGAATCTCCAAAATTTCTTTAAAATCTTGTAATCTTGAACAATTTGTGAAAAAAATTTATTGAGCAATCAAAACTCTGGTTGTCTTCAAGATAACGTTGTTTCTAGACGATAATGGAGATCTCAGTATATTTAGAGGAAAAAAAGTTCAAACAGGAAAAGCTGAACGCAAATCAGTGCGGGTTCTGATTTGATGAATTGACCTTGAAAATTCAATAGAAGATGGGAAAACATTTCGCTGTTTCAGCCGGACTGACATGGATCGCCCTGCTGCAGTGAGGGGCGAAAAGGTCAAATATCCCACTCAATAAAGGAACGGGATGTAGTAATACCGCACTAAGATCTCGGATCCCTATCAGCGAGGTATTGGAGACTAGTTGATTAGAACGTCGAGGATTCAGCTATGGCTGCCGCGAAATTTTTTGTTGGGATCGCTGATTGGACCTTCGGTTGTTTTAACCCATCTCTTAATGTTCTCCCTGCACAGCGCCCTATAAGTGATTTGCAACCAATCTCTAGATACACAGGTAAAAATGGTGAAAGAAACAAATGCTGATGGACGAACAAAAGAAGCTAATGAGATATTTATTGTTTACGTCCATCAACATGGCGGCAAAGACGTAGCGTGAAAACTACCTAAACTCACTGTTACGTTCCCACTGTAACAGAATTGAACTGCGCGTTAAACCTTCTATTTTCCCTTCGAGGGGAAATAACAGAGTGTGGTCCTTATTTTTAAGATTTTTTTGTTGGAATCACCTTTCATTTTCATTTTTTGTTTCATTCGCGCATTTAAGGAGGCAGTTAACCCTAAATCAGTCTAATCAGATAAAAATTCATAATTTATTATGGAATTGACCAAACTTAATAAACTTGGCATATGGAAGTTGCATCAACAGCAGCATCATAAAATCTACTTTTGATGTTGCAACAATCTGTCATTTCCATAGAAACTCTGATAAACAAATGAGAAGGTTGCGCCTTAAGACATATATTTCTCAAAGAATATTCAATTATTTGACTCAAAAATTGCTGTAAATTATCAAAACACATTGCTCTGTGCAATGAATTACTAACTTTATGTTTCTTTAAAATCCTTGCCATTTAAGGCTTGGCACCTTTGTTTCCATAGCAACAATGATCGAAAGTGACAAATTAAGAAAATTGTAATTCATTGCATAGAACATCACTCCAGGAACAAGGCCTGGAAATTTTGTATAATATAGGTGAATAGCAAACCAACTATGCCTGTTTTAGTACTCGGTGTGTAAAAAATTGCTAATTTAAGAAAATGCAAGACAAAGTTCAACACATAATGATAGAGCACTAAAATGATTCAAACAAAACACTAAGCATAGCCTTAATGGGTAGAAGTGGTCTAGCATGTCCACATTTGATGAGTGAATGTTTTCTAAACCAAATAGGGCAAAAACTGGTTTGAATAGGTTACTGTTGCCCAGTTCTTTCTTTAGCTACAAACTCCACATCC